CTCTCTCTCTCTCTCTCTCACACTCACTAACTCTCTTTCTCTCTCTCTCTCTTTCTCGCTCTCTCTTTCTCGCTCTCATTGTTTCTCTCTCTCTCTTCTTCTCTCTTTCTCCATCCCTCTCTTGAGTTCACTCCATTTCCTTTACATCAGCACTCATGACGTTAATGTTTCAACAGTAAAGGACTTGGCTTCTTTCTGAAACGCTGCAATGTCCGAGAAATCAACGAGAGACGAAAACAACTAATTTTAGACCTAATGTCATTGTTCCGGCATGGATTCAACGCCACTTTTAAATCTTAGGTCATTTAAATTGACCTCCGATTGTCACTCCCATCTCCAGTAGGACTTTACCATGTGGGTGGAGAGCCTCTTGAAAACACAAAGCAACCCAAGTGTTTTTACGCCCTCATCAGCGTAATTTAGATCATTCAAAAGACGGGCTTCGACTTCGACCATGCCTATCAGGCCATCCTGGGTTGACTGAAAGGGATACAGCATCCCAGCAGAATAACCGAAATACTCGATACAAATTGCCCCCACTCGGGAATCGAACTCGGGTCTCCTTCGAGCGATAGCGAAACGCCGAACCGCTTCTCCATAGACGCTGAAAAACGGAGATAAACTCACGTCTTCAGCAGTAAAGCAATCACTTAATGTGTTTATCTAATACCAAAAACATTGTGTCAGCGGTGGTGGTCGAGGGAGGAATGATAGCACTAATACCTTAGTTATGCGGGGCGGGAGGAGGGGGGTGGGGTTGTTTTTTTTCTTTTGTTCGTCTGGGGGTTGTTGTTTTTTTTGTGGGTTGTTGTTTGTTTGTTTGTTTTTTTGGGGGGAGGGGTTGTTTTGTTGTGGCACGCTGGTTTCATTCTAGGGCTCAATGAGAGAAACAAAATACCCCTGAAGTTAATTCAATACAAGACGTAAACCTGTCGCAGTTTTGAAAAACTGTTTTATTTTTATACGACACAAACTCACCTTATTCAGCTCATCAACCGACTCACCTAGTAAATAGTTTTTGTGACGTCTAATCTTATGGAATTGGTCTGGAATGATAATTATGATTTTTGTCATGGTGAATGTAAACGTTGGGCATTACTGGCGATCAAAATGCATCTAGATCTATATCTGTAAAAAGTGCGCTGCTATGATAGTGCGCGGCTATGTTTTGTTATTGTTGTTGTTTTGGGTTTTTTGGTTGATTATTTTTCCAAAAGTGCGCCCAGTTCTTATAGAAGTGACAGCCACCCCACCCCCAAAGTGCGCTACGACGAAGAGCGTGGTCGCTACACCATATACACCATATACACCATAGACGCCGGTGGCGGGGTAAACATTCTTATACCAACTTTTGGACAGAATGCAAGGTCAGTGTGGTAGGACATGGACTGACCAAACGACAGCTCCGGAGAGTCTTTGGCCGTCTTAAGCCCGTAAATCGTCCTCCCTGGGCTTGACAGAAATGGCGAGCCATTAACTTTGTCTATGAAGACGTGCTAATGTCCGCGGTGATAGTCCGGTCGTCACAGGCTGTTAGCCCAGATCACTGGCCATGGAATGCTCGTGACAAAACCTTTTTTGAACGACAGAAAGGGGGGGGGGGGCAGAAAAGAGAGGGGTAGGGCGGAAGAGAATCGTTCACACCCAGCCACCACCTAGCATAGTATTTTCTGCGACGGATCCAATATAATATGACCAAGGAGTGATTATCTTTTTTCTTTAATTT